TCTCCGCTCCCGACTCCCCTTACCGCGGGCAGCCACTCAGCCACAGGAGCCAGTAAGTCCCCCGGTCAAGGAAGGTCTCTGCCTTCTAGGGCTCCATCTCCATGGGGGGAATTTTAAGGTCCAAGGGGGGGTAGGTCGGAGGAGCCTCGTGCGGGAGCTCCTACCACGAGCTCTCCGCCGCCGCCATAGTCAGGCTCCGCCCCCCAAAGTCCCTTTTACATATGGTTTAAACCATAGGGGTTTTTTTCAAAAATTATAAAAATCAAAATTCATTGCTGTAACTTCTTAAAACATAATAGCTAGAGTTGGGCTATAATTTTTTAGCTGCTTCTTGAATTAAGAATAAATATAAATGCAATTACCGTATTTTTCGCTCCATAAGACGCATCTGACCATAAGACGCACCTAGGTTTTAGAGGCAGAAAACAGGGGGAAAAAATTCTGAACTAATGGACTGCAGACATAGTACAGGAGATGACCAGAGACTGCGGACACAGTACAGGAGATGACCAGAGACTGCGGACACAGTACAGGAGATGACCAGAGACTGCGGACACAGTTCAGGGGATGACCAGAGACTGCGGCCACAGTACAGGAGATGACCAGAGACTGCAGACACAGTACAGGAGATGACCAGAGACTGCGGACACAGTACAGGAGATGACCAGAGACTGCGGACACAGTGCAGGAGATGACCAGAGACTGCGGACAGATGTTGATCACTAGTACAGATGTGGATTTGACACTGGTACTATGTGACAGATATTGATCACTGGTACGCTATGACAGATGTGGATTTGACACTGGTAGGTCGTGACAGATGTTAATCACTGGTACAGAAGTGGATGACCACTGGTATACCGTAAGATGTGGATCACTGGTACAGATGTGAATTTTACATTGGTACACCGTGACAGATGTGAATTTTACACTGGTGCAGATGTGAATTTTACACTGGTACAGATGTGGATCACTGGTACAGATGGATTTTACACTGGTACAGATGTGGATCACTGGTACACATCTGGAGTTTACACTGGTATGCCGTGACAGATGTGGATCACTGGTACAGATGTGCATTGTACACTGGTACTGTGTGACAGATACACATGTTGATCACTAATTCAGATGTGGATGACCACTGGTACACTGAGACAGATGTGGATCACTGGTACACATGTGGAATTTACACTGGTATGTCATAACAGATGTGGATCACTGGTACAGATGTGAATTTTACACTGGTACACCGTGACAAATGTGGATCACTGGCACTGATGTTAATTTTACACTAGTACACCATGACATATGTGGATCACTGGTACAGATATGGATGACCACTGGTACACTGCGATAGATGTGGATCACTGGAACAAATGTGGATTTTACACTGGTATGCCATGACAGATGTGGATCACTGGTACAGATGTGGCTTTTACACTGGTATTGTGTGACAGATGTGGATCACTGGAGCACTGACAGCTGTGTGGGGGACACTATGATCAGTATGTTTTAACCTACTGCTTAACACAGATCGGCTCTGCTTCTCCTCACTAGCAGGCTGTGTGTGAGGAGAGGCAGACATGATCAACAGACTGGCAGCTTTGTTGACATTTCATGATGGCTGTGATTGGACACAATATGATATAAGTGCAGTGCAGCGCTACAGAACATAAACAAAATGAAAACAATATACATGAAAAGCACAAATATAACACATCAATGTGCAACAGGAAAAAAACATACACTTGCATAGAGCTGAGCCCTTGTGAAGAGAATCCTCAATTGGGGGATCAATAAGTGCAATCAGTGTGTGTATCCCTTGCCGGGAATAAATAGCATGCAACTAGGTGTATTAAAGGATAAAATATGCGGAAACACTATGGGCAGCCAGATAATAAATGTCCATAAAATGGAAAAAAACACTCCTCATGCAGGTGTGAGCAAATTCGTGCCAATCCTCAGTGTCTGGGGTGCCCCCTCACCTTCCTGCCCAGGCCCCTCAGGACCAATGAGCCTATCAAGCAACACAGTATTCCTCCAGGACGATGAAGGGTCTCCTTAGCAGTAGTGGCTGGACTCCCTTCTCCTCTTATGGGTAGGCATCCAATGATAGCCCTGAAGTCAGCGGGTGGTTAATGAACCTAACCTTGCCCTGCCAGAAGACAGGACATGATGAAAGTGTTTTGTTAAGAAAAGGAACAAAAAGGAGGAGACTTTAATTCTTACATGTACTGGCAGGAAGATTAGTAATCTTATGCCTTACTGGGGACATGTATGGAGTACCACCTGTCCAACAATATCACCTATCATTCCATGCCTACCCATTAGAGGAGAAGGGAGTCCCACCACTACTGCTGAGGAGACCCTTTATCATCCTGGAGGAATACTGTGTTGCTTGATAGGCTCATTGATCCTGAGGGGCCTGGGCAGGAAGGTGAGGGGGCACCCCAGACACTGAGGATTGGCACGAATTTGCTCACACCTGCATGAGGAGTGTTTTTTACATTTTATGGAAATTTATTATCTGGCTGCCCATGGTTTTTTTCGCATATTTTATCCTTTAATACACCTAGTTGCATGCTATTTATTCCCGGAAAGGGATACACACACTGATTGCACTAATTGATCCCTCAATTGGGGATCCTCTTCACAAGGGCTCAGCTCTATGCAAGTGTGTGTTTTTTTTTTTTTTTTCCTGTTGTTGCACATTGATGTTTAATATTTGTGCTTTTCATGTATATTGTTTTCATTTTGCTTGTGTTCTGTAGCGCTGCACTGCACTTATATCACATTGCATCCCTATTGGTGCCTAGGTTGTGGCATTTTAGTGCTAGCTACTTATTAGCTTGTTACGCATAATAGTGCAGGAGGATTTTTACATTTTTTTCTGTGATTGGACATCAGGTGATCATAAGGGTCAATCAGAGATCCTGTCAGGGCTCCCGGGTATGACCAGAGGTGTGTGACTGATGCAGGGAAACGCAGACTTCAGATATGTTATAAACGATGTAATTTATTAACACTAACAATACAAACATAAACGCAGTGCAATACTAAAACATAACACAGTGCAAACAAACCAAACCAACCACCCACAGATAACAGTACATACAATGCAAGCGTCGTCAGGCAGGCTGGGTCAATATCAATCGGGCAGGTAGGTACAGGGGGAGCAAGCAGAGAATGGACAGGGTCACAAGCCAGGTTCAGCAGGTAGCGGGCAGCGTGGTACAGAGGGTCAGGCAGAGGAGAATGGTCAGACAAGCCAGGGATCAGAGCAGGGTCAGCAGAGAATCAGACAGGAACAGGAACAGGAAACAGGGCCCAGGAGAAACACAACACCAAGGCAGAGTCTGCAGGTCTGAATGTCCCTTAAATACACCAGTATAATTAGTTCCAGGTGTTTGACTGGCTGCAAGGTTGAGTCTCTGATTGCTGGGAGCACCCGCTGGCCAGCCCTGGTACTGCAGCTCATAAGGCAGGCGAGTCCCACTATTGCTGGCCAGTCCATTCCTGACAGTACCCCCCCCCCTCAAGGAGCGGCCTCAGGACGCTCCAAACAGTCCTAGCTGGGCAAAAATGTTCCACCGCCCGGGTCTGGTAACTGGCGGGATATCAAAGACTGGCACACCGGGCAGGACTCCGGGCAGCGGCACACCGGGCAGAGGCACATCGGGCTGGACTCCGGGCAGAGGCACATCGGGCTGGACTCCGGGACAGAGGCACATCGGGCTGGACTCCGGGCAGAGGCACATCGGGCTGGACTCCGGGCAGAGGCACATCGGGCTGGACTCCGGGCAGAGGCACATCGGGCTGGACTCCGGGCAGAGGCACATCGGGCTGGACTCCGGGCAGAGGCACATCGGGCTGGACTCCGGGCAGAGGCACATCGGATTACCAGGCGGAGCAGCAGGCAGCGGGCCACCGGGCGGAGCAGCAGGCAGCGGGCCCCCAGGCGGAGCAGCAGGCATCGGGCCCCCAGGCGGAGCAGCAGGCATCGGGCCCCCGGCGGGGCGGACAGGCATCGGGCCCCCCCAGGAGGGGCGACAGGCATCGGGCCCCCAGGAGGGGCGGCGGCGGGCGCCGGACCCCCAGGAGGGGCGACAGGCATCGGGCCCCCAGGCGGAGCGGCGGGCACCGAGTCACCAGGCACGACAGTGGGCTCCGAGTCAACTGGCAAGACTGCGGGCACTGAGTCGTCTGGCCAGACTGCGGGCACGGAGTCGTCTGGCGGAACAGCGGGCACCGAGTCGTCTGGCCAGACTGCGGGCACCGAGTCGTCTGGCCAGACTGCGGGCACCGAGTCGTCTGGCAAGACTGCGGGCACCGAGTCGTCTGGCAAGACAGCGGGCACCGAGTCGTCTGGCCAGACAGCGGGCACCGAGTCGTCTGGCCAGACAGCGGGCACCGAGTCGTCTGGCCAGACAGCGGGCACCGAGTCGTCTGGCGGAACAGCGGGCACCGAGTCGTCTGGCGGAACAGCGGGCACCGAGACGTCTGGCGGAACAGCGGGCACCGAGACGTCTGGCGGAACAGCGGGCACCGAGTCGTCTGGCGGAACAGCGGGCACCGAATCACCAGGCACGACAGTGGACTCTGACTCAATTGGCACGACAGCGGGCACCGGGTCATCAGGTATGACAGCGGGCACTGGGTCACCAGGCATCAGGTCATTTGGCTTGCCAGCGGGCACCGCGTCATCTGGCAAGGCAGTGGGCACCGGGTCACCAGGCAGGCATTGGATCGTCTGGCTCGACAGCGGGCATCGGGTCACCAGGTATGACAGCGGGCACTGGGTCACCAGGCATCAGGTCATTTAGCTCGCCAGCGGGCACCGCGTCATCTGGCAAGGCAGTGGGCACCGAGTCACTAGGCACGACAGCGGGCTCTGAGTCAACTGGCATGACAGCGGGCACCGGGTCATCAGGTACCGGATTGTCTGGCTCGACAGCGGGCATCGGGTCACCAGGCCTAATAGGATCGTCAGGCTGGATCAGTTCATCATGCTGGGTAAAGGCATCAGGCTGAGTAGAGGCTTCAGGCTGAGTAGAGGCTTCAGGCTGAGTAGAGGCTTCAGGCTGAACCACGGAAGGCAGGTTCACCGGTTTGGATACTGGCAGGATGGTATTGGTTGGAAAGAATTTTCGCTTTTTTCTGGTTTTAACTACTGGAGTACTGCAAGTAAACGCAGGTCTGCAAACGAATGGAGGAGCAGCTGGAGACAGAGAAAAACTGGAGGATGGAACAGGAGAGGGAGCAGTTGCTACAGAGGGCTTTTTTACAGGGTTAAAGGCAGGATAGGTGCAGCGAGTGGGAACAGGGTACTGACATGCGGTAGATAGCCAAGTATACTGGGCTGTAACTGGAGGAGCTGTTGGGAATACAGGAGTAGAGCTTTGAGGAAATAGATTAGAAGCAGGACTGGGTCTTTGTAAGCTGACTGAGGCTGGGTGCAACAAATCTGTCCATGTCTGCAGTATGGGTTGAACAAAGCTGAGCTTACACAAAGCCTGTCTGATCAAAGACTGCACTGCGTTTATACAATCTCTTAGTACCTGTGGTGAACATGTGGAATAACGCTCCAGAAAGTAACCCACATCATCCTCTAATAACCACACCAGGGACTCTACCTAGTCTGCACTAAATGGTGGCAAAAATTCATCCCTGCATTCAAGGGTACTAGATGAAACCAACTCAGCACAAACCTCAATCAATGGCTGCACCTCAGAGAATTCTGTGCCCTGATCTACTAGAACATGAGCGAGCTGTATACATTCTAGCAGTTCATCCCGGGGATACTCCTTCAGAGTTTGATAAGCATACTCCCTGTCATCAAACACTAGCAGATATAAATACACAACCTCATCCAGATCCATCCTTCCCATCAACAAACCAAGATGGCTTCCCTGTGCAGCCACTTCTGGTCAGGATTGGCCTTGGTGTAATGTCAGGGCTCCCGGGTGTGACCAGAGGTGTGTGACTGATGCAGGGAAACGCAGACTTCAGATATGTTATAAACGATGTAATTTATTAACACTAACAATACAAACATAAACGCAGTGCAATACTAAAACATAACACAGTGCAAACAAACCAAACCAACCACCCACAGATGACAGTACATACAATGCAAGCGTCGTCAGGCAGGCTGGGTCAATATCAATTGGGCAGGTAGGTACAGGGGGAGCAAGCGGAGGATGGTCAGGGTCACAAGCCAGGTTCAGCAGGTAGCGGGCAGCGTGGTACAGAGGGTCAGGCAGAGGAGAATGGTCAGACAAGCCAGGGATCAGGAGCAGGAGAATGGTCAGACAAGCCAGGGATCAGAGCAGGGTCAGCAGAGAATCAGACAGGAACAGGAAACAGGGCCCAGGAGAAACACAACACCAAGGCAGAGTCTGCAGGTCTGAATGTCCCTTAAATACACCAGTATAATTAGTTCCAGGTGTTTGACTGGCTGCAAGGTTGAGTCTCTGATTGCTGGGAGCACCCGCTGGCCAGCCCTGGTACTGCAGCTCATAAGGCAGGCGAGTCCCACTATTGCTGGCCAGTCCATTCCTGACAGATCCCTTCTGCCGTGCTGCATTGCGCTGTGTTTAGAGCACACAGGCACACCGAGAGCATGCAGGCCATGTTCTGAGGGACATTCGGGAACGTCCACTCAGAACGACAAAGATCCTACCTGACCATTTATGTGCAGTAGCCAGGTGGGAAGCGGTAAAAAAAAAAAAAGTCTTGGGGTCCCCCCAAAATCCATAACAGACCCTTATTCGAGCATGCAGGCCAGGAAAGGGGGGGGTGAGCAAACACACCCCTTGAACCATACCAGGCCACATGCCCGCAACATGGGGGGGAATGTCTCCTAAAGCACCTTGCCCCTATGTTGATGAGGACAAGGGCCTCTTCCTCATAACCTTTGCTCAGGGGTTGTGGCAGTGCAGGGGGTGACTAATTGGAATCTGGAAGCCCCCTTTAATAAGGGGGCCCCCAGATCCCGGTACATAGTATCCCTACTCCTTCACCAAAAAAGTGAGTAAAAACACAGCAGTTTTGACAATTCCTTTATTAAAAAACACCCAAAATAAATGTCCCCTGAAGGAGACCCAATGTTAATCACGATGAAAAAAACAAAGAGCTCTGCACCCGAAGAAGGCACTTGCTGCCTGACAGTTCTTAACTAAGGGGTGGGCTCAGCTGATGACATCACCTGGTGACCCCACCCCCTTGTGGCATACTTTTTTTTTTAGAATGACAGCTGATGAGTCATCCGTATGTAAGGACGTGGCTGCGGGCTTGCCAGCCCGCTGCTTAGTAGCCAGCTATTCTTCAAATAGATTTCGGATCGGTCGATCAATTGTCAACCGATTTGAAATTTAATAATTTCAAAAATTTGTTAGAAAATTAATAAATGAAACAGAATGAAAATAAAGAAATTCCGAAAACAAATAAGGAAACAAAATTAGTAACATAACGAATATACCCGAAGCTAAACTATACGAAATTTTCCGTACTGCACATATCTATTAACTACTGTATGACAGGTAACAAGAATATTATCAATATATTATGTTATTATAGAGCTAACTGAGGGGCCAGAGAAACAAATAGTCTAATAACCTCTGATAATTTGGAGAATTTTCCACAAGAAACTGTTGAGGCTTTTACAGTACCATAAGAAACAATTGAGTACTGTCTGTGATACTTTTTTTATTTGCACTAACAAACAATTTTTTAAGGACAAGCTTTCTGGGTCCAGTTCTTCAGGTCAAAGCAGTACTGATCAGAAAGGTATAGCAGAATGTTAGAAGAGATGTAGGGGATGGAGAGGAAGAAAAAAAAAATAGAACAGAGATAAGACACAGCAAAAGCAAAGTCTAGTGGTGGGGGGGGGGGGGAGACAACACTCAGAGGCAGTTATGCTTGAGGTCATAAAACTGTTGGATAATGATTGAGGAATCCCATGTCCAAATTCAGGCCGTCATCTCTTGTGTCAAATAGAATTATCATTCTTAGCTCAAAAGTTTTTCTTTCCTGAATGGATTTGAAATTTCCTTTAAGAACTAAAATAAACAAACAACCGTGAATATTTATGCTCCTAATCAAGACCAGAGCCCCTTTCTCTCTGCAGTTCTTTACGAGTTGTCCGCCTTTGGTGGCCCATGTTTCATTGTAGAAGGTGATTTTAATATGGCCCTGTCTCTTGCTGCAGACACCTCCTCCAGCAGATCTTCTGTCTCCTTTTTGGTATTATCTCAAATCAAGACTCATTTACATGATTGGTAGACGTGTGGCAGGTCCTGCTCCCTTCGGAACAGGATTATAGCTACTATTTGGCAGCTCATGAGTCCTATAGTCGTTTTGATTATTTTTTTGTTTCACAATCCTTACTCGATTCCCCTATGTTGGCTTCCCTTGGTCATTTCTTATGGTCTGACCATGCTCCTATTCACCTCACTATATACAAGCTCCCCACGCCTTTACGTCACTCTTCCTGGCGTTTGAATGATACTTTGCTTAAATATTCCGTATGTGTCACGGAGGTCACGAGGGCTATATAAAACTTTGTTCTGGATCATGCTTTGGATGCCACTGGCCCCCATACCCAATGGGAGGCCCATTAATGTGTCCTCCAGGGAGTGTTCATCCAGCATGGCACCCGATTGAAAAGGGCTCGGATGGCGGAGATTCATCGGTTGCTTTTGCTTATCACAGCCTTAGAGTCCTCCCACAAGTGTACACTGAATCCGGGGCTCGTGGTGGACCTCTCTAAAGCCTGTGGTGACTTACTCCAATTATTAGACTCCTCCTCCCTTATTGCCCAAGATAAAGCCCGCAACACCCATTATTCTCTAGCTAACAAACGTGGTCAGAATCTGGCGTGGGTACTCCACCCTTGCCCGTCTCATCGCCCAATTCAATATATACAAGCACCTGACACCAAAATCTTTCACAATGGGAATTTCAACCGCGTTTCGAACGCTATTACTCTCAACTCAATAATTTGTTCCCCCGCGTCTCCAACTGTCTTCATGGATTCTTCGTTACCAGTTCTTGATGTGCAGGACTCTTGACGAGGTGCCCTTTCCTGTTCCGGAGGTTCTTGCAGCAATTAAGGTCCTTTAAATCTGGCAAGTGCCCGGGCCCTGATGGGTTTACCCCAAGATTCTACAAAACATTTGCCCCTCTGCTGGCCCCGCTTTTGACTCGGGCCTTTAATGCTATTGATGACTCTCATTCACCCTCCCATTTCTTTCCGCTAATATTTCGGTTATTCTTAAACCAGGAAAAGATCCTTCTCTTTGCAGCAGTTATCGGCCGATTTCTCTGCTTAACTTGGATGTTAAACTTTTTGCAAAAATTATGGTGAACCACCTTTCTCCATTTCTTCCGGCCCTGATACATCATGATAAGGTTGGAATCGTTCCCAGTCGAGAAGCTAGGGACAACACTATTAAAACAATCAAGCTTATCTTCTACATTAAACACTGTCTAAAGGCCTGCCTTCTCTCGTTTGATGCTGAGAAGGCGTTTGATCGTGTTGATTGGTATTTCCTGCGCCTTACCCTAGAGCAAATAGGTCTGGGTCCACGGTTTTTTATTAAAATTATGTTCCTGTACTCTCACCCCATGTCTTCTGTTCTTGTGAATGGTACGGCCTCTTCGTCCTTTTCTATCTTGAATGGTACCAGATAGGGTTGCACTCTTTCTCCTTTACTTTTTGTCTTGGTTATGGAGCACCTTGTGCTGGCTATTTGGGCTAATGGTTCTATATTAGGCATTCATACTCCTTCCTCACATCATAAACTGTCCCTTTATGCAGATGACCTCCTAATTTATATAATAGCCTCTCATCTCTCTCCCCAGCCTGCTTCAGGAGTTCCATAGATTCGGTTTGTTTAGTAACTTTAAACTCCACACTTCCAAAACAGAGATATTGAATATTTTGTTTCAATGGCGTCCACAGGTTTTGATTTCTTCTGCTCTTACCGCTCTCTACTTGCGTAATTATCTGCCCCAGCATACGTGCCTTCGCAAAGACTTGGCCTCGTGGGAGCTTCCGCTCTGTCCTGGTTTGGACGCATTAA